CAAATTAGATAATTACAATAAAATATAAATTCTATTCCTAATAGGAACGTTGACTCACGCCAACAAGCCCCACCACACCCAAAATAGAGAGAGAAGGGCTAGGGATAATGTTAAGGGTTTGACCCAAAAAAGAGGAGTATAGTTTTTTGAGGACTTTTCTAAACATTCGAACTCAATTATTGAAATTAAAGGTAAATATAACACCTTTCCTCATGAAGCTTCATGCGAAGAGGTAAACCCAACTACACCTCATTTTGCAAATCAATAACGAAGCCAGAACGAACGAGCTTGAAGATCTTAAATTTTAATAATCAAAGTTCGGAATCGAATTAGGCAATCATTAGACCCAAAAAACTTACTTTGTTATGGAGTTAACCAACAATGTTGGTCGAGCTTAAAAAATCTCTTGTACTACAACAAGTCATTTTACTTTGTGAACTTGTAGAATGTTGTAGCTGCTATTGGCCTTTTTTGTTGTTTCTGACTTTTCATTGCAGATCACTCATCAACTTGTTTCATTTATGATGATGCAGACCCATGAGAAGCTTTGGACCTCTCAGGTTTAAATATCTCATTATACATGCAATAAATAATACAGCATCCGTGACCACTCTTTGGCCATTCTTCTGGTGCTAGCCTCCCTTACTGGTTGGCCACAAAAATATGTACGGCAGAACTGGCGGACCCAATACATGCCTACTGTGGGACCCACACTTAGGTGTTTCTTCACCCATCTAGCCAAACACTTTGCCAATAAAAATTAGACACTTGGCTAATATTTTGCATGCAAAATCCCCACTCAGCACCCTAAATAAGTAAAACCTTCAAGGTTTTAGCCTAAAACCTCTTCTATATTGAAAATATCAAGGCCCAAGACTTAATAAACATATGGTCCAATATATAAAGTCTTAGATTTTGGCCCAAAATCATATATTAAAATTTTATTGAAATAGATTATGTGTTATAATATATATATATATATATAGTATTACTATGAAAACCTAGACTTTTGTAGGAGTCAGCTATGAAATTGTTTTTTATGCCCCCATATGGAAAAAAGTCTGGGTCCACTACTCCACTACTATAATTTGTACACACAAAACATATACATATTTATCAATGTGTATCTACACTACACCTGGCTGTATCTATCATGATCATGCTGCTACTCCTAATATGTATAATTCTTTATCAATGAGACAGATTTTAAATCTGAAAATCCTTTCAACGTTGATAAGAAAAATATCACTAAATTAAGAATAATGAAATTATGAAATAGAATTATTATAAACTTTCATACGAGAAATGAGATCGTTGCTATTTCTTTGTACTCGTATCCCTCGTATTTATGTTTGGAAATCAAGAAATTAGTACAAACTGAAACCCCTTTGAATCTAATTCCAGTTTAAACCAATACAACCAGCTAGGCTTCAATTTGATTCACAAATTTGTATACATCCGCTTTGGAAGTTTTTGAGAAAGAAGCTGACAAAGCTAATAAGAGTACTAGTCGAAAAGGGAAGAAATTTTGAATATAAGAGATAATCAAAGGAGAAGAAATTTTAATTTATGTACTGGCCTTTTTGGCTAAAGGCCTCTGTGCTTGATCTATAAATGTAATATATCGCTAATTTTCCACACACACACACACACACACAAAAAAAAAATCATTTTAGCATTTCCAAAATAGGAGTCTTTCATTCTCATCCACCAGGGACCAAGATTCATTCCGCAAATGAAGTGAGGCCCTTAAGACTCCGTTTTGGTTCACGGAACGGATTTGAGGAAAAATCACTTCCTATGTCATTTTCTAAGAGATAAGAAATAAAGATTCATTTCCTATATTTGGTAATCCTGGGAAAGTAATCAAGAAATATAATTTTATTTCCTTTCACATGTTCGGTTTGTATAGAAATGTAAAAAAAGTTTGTTTAATTTTCCAATTATACACATATAAAATCAAATAAAACACAAATGCATTTAATGCTATATTGTAATTATAAATTGTTAATGGGGTCATGAAAAATGTGTATCTGATGTTGGCTCATTTTTCCAAACTTTCTTACGAGAAAGAAAACAAAATCCAAAGGAGGAGAAGGGCTTCACTTTCCCTCATACTTTCCAATGACCTAAACGGACGTAAGAGGAGGTTGCAAGCTAAACTCGTGGGTCAGAAATTAGTTTTTTTTATTTTTAATTTTATTTCCGCCAATAGAAATTAGTTGACATCACCAAAACCTATGGGCTTTCCTGCCTAGTTCGCATTCTATCAGAACAGAACCCATCCTTCTGAATCATGGGTTGGAGAAATTATACAATAGTACGGTATTACCACGTGGCACTTGCCAGGTGGTAGTACGCACTTATAATATGGCGACACTTGGATAACAACTATTGAAAAAAAAAGAAAAAAAAAGCAGAACTAACGTCCGTTTAATATTGGTCTGGACACTTCTACGGTCCGTCTTTTTTGCCTCAAATACCGCATAGCTTTCGTCCGTCTTTGGATCTCTCGAGAAGCCATGGCTATGGAGTTTTTCGTTCAACTCACTGGGATCTCTCGAAAAGGCATTAACGCTCATAATTTCTTTCAACATAAAAAAAATCATCAAAATTGATTTTAGATTTTTAATTATACACCCATAAATTCGCAACCCATATTGTTTGAGCCTACCCATTTAACTAACACCAACCCAAGCAATTGCAAAAGACGATGGACTCAAGAACAAATTCGGAGCAAAGATCCTAAAATTAACCCCCGTTTGCCTGGAAATAAAAAGAAATTCAATGTTTTCCTTTACTAACACCCAAGAACAAACTGGGGAAAGAGAATAATTTCTTAAAATTTTATGAAAAAAAAGAGAGAGAAGAAATTAATAAGAAGGTTTATGAAAATCTGATGGCACCAGCACCAACATAGCCTTTCCTCAAGGAGTCAAATGAATCTTGCAGAGATGGAAGTCTTTGGTGATGGATAAAGATGGGGAAGTTTCATTTCATGGACGGTGACGTTAACGTTGATATAAAACAAAACGTTAATTATCTTTGTTGGAGCTGTTGTCCATATGTCGTCGTCTTATAGATGCGTACTACCACCTGGCAAGTGACATGTGGTAGTACCGTACTATTGTATAATTTCTCCATGGGTTGTGCCTGATGGTGAGGCTGAATTTGAGCTCAAGTCCTTTGTTTTTCTTCACCTTCTTCATTGTCTTCAACACCAACCCAGATCAAGCAACCAGGGCACTTGGCCTCTATCTTGCTAAAAAACCCAACTAGTCGCTCAGCCATCCAACAAATCCACTCTCACATTCTCACCTCTGACTTTCTCCTCCATCACTCCATTTCAACTGCCCATCTTCTCCTCTTCAACACTTTGCTTCGTTGCTATTCCTTTGGCCCCTTCCCTCGTGAAGCTTTCACTTTCTACAAACACCTCCAACATTTTTCCCTTTCCTACCACTCCTCCAACTACTCCTTTCTTCTCCACGCCTCCATTACCTTAAAATCCAACAACCCAGGTACCCAAATCCATGCCTTCGCTCACAAACTCGGTTTCCATTTCCATGTCTATGTTCAAACTGCCTTGCTTAATATGTACGTTGCTTGTGGCTCTTTGCTCCTTGCTCTCCACGTGTTCTACGAAATGCCCGATTGGAATTCTGTCACTTGGAATGTCGTGATAACTGGTTTGGCCAAATGGGGTGAGCTTAAATTCTCGGTCTCTCTACTGTTATTATTGATGCCTACTCCCGAAAGAATCAGCCTCATGAAGCTGTTGCTTTGTTTCGAAGAATGGTTGTTGAAGATTGCATTGAGTCTACTGAGGTTACACTTCTGGCCGTATTTCCAGCTGTTTCGGTTCTTAGGGCTCTTAAGATTTGCCAATCACTTCATGCTTACGGTGAGAAGAGAGGATTTAATGCATCTGACATATGTGTCACCAATTCCCTTTTGGATTCTTATGCAAAATGTGGCTGCATAGAGAGTGCATTGAGATTATATGAGGAGATATCTGTTGAGAGGAAGAATTTGGTGTCATGGACATCTATAATCTCTGGGTTTGAAAAGCGTGGGATGGGGAAAGAAGCTGTCGAGTATTTTAGTAGTATGGAGCAAGTTGGTCTCAGACCAAATCGAGTGACGCTCTTGGGTATTTTCGATGCTTGTAGTCATGGAGAGGATTAATTGATGAGGGGCTGAACTTCTTTGGGAAGATGGTCGACGAGTATGAAATTGCACTAGATATCAAGCACTATGGGTGCTTAATAGATATGCTAGGGAGGGCAGGGAGATTAGAAGAAGCAGAAAATATGGCTTTGGAGATTCCTTCCAATATCGTTAATGTTGTGATCTGGAGGACCCTGTTGGGTGCTTGTAGCTTTCAAGGTAATGTGGAAATGGGTGAGAGGGTGACAAAGAAGATACTGGAGATGGAGAGAGGATATGGAGGGGACTACGTGCTTATGTCCAACATCTTTGCTGGGGTGGAAGGTGCAGTGATGTCGAGAGAATGAGAAGCTTGCTGGATGAGAGGAATGCCTTCAAACTTCCAGGGCATAGTTTGGTCTAACTGGTGTTGAAGATGGGCAACTATGGTTGAGAGAGATTATGAATGTTGCTGGTGATTGCTAGATAATCTCAAGTATGAGAAAACAAGGCCAATATCTGAAAAAAGAAGTTACTAATGCATTTGAGCGTTTGGGAATTTATCATCAAGATGAGAAGTGCTGTGACAGCCTCAGACAATCGTTTTCTTCGGTTTTGTTTATTCCCCTACTTAACAAGATTGAAACCAGTCTGATGCAGAATGCATATTATTAGTTTTCCTAATACTACTTGGATTAGTTTTCCTATTTTTAGTTTTCCTAATTCTTAAAGATTCTTTCTTGGTAAAGGATCTCTTATTAGTTAATTTGTTTTCCTAATTCTTAAAGATTCCTTCTTGTTAAAGGATCTCTTATTAGTTAATTTGCTTTCCTATTTCTTAAAGTTTACTTTTCTTTTTGCTGGACTAAAAAGGGTTTTGCCTTTATAAATAGAGTTGTTTGTAATCTTTTAAGGCAGACTTGATTAATGATAAATTTCCTTACTTTAAACTCTCTGATTCCTTCCCTTTCCCTTCGTCTCTTCGATCCCTTATTTCTTCCCTGCTCTATTGCTCCAGTGTTTACTCTAAACCTATGGGCTGTTCTACATCACAGTCATATTCAGGTTTGTCTTCACCACTTCCACCTCCTAAGTCATCTTCTTTGTCTTCTTATGTTTAACAGGAGCTACGGTTGGTAAAAGAGTGTTATGTTTCAACTGCAGAACAAAAAATCCGATGATGAATAGTAGTGGGGCATGTTTCTGTATATAGTGCATTCCATCAATACTAAATCAGTATAGAAATCTTAAATTTATTGGTAATCCAAGCACCTGCCAAGCTTGGGATGAAAATAACAATTGGAAGTGATTTACCAACTACAAGAACTGCTACAGTGTCTTCAATTATAGGACAAAGGAATGGCAGCCAACATCAACACCTGATGAAGATGGACTTATGCATCAATTACGAGCTACTCTCATCCAGGCTATTGATGCTTCAGCCTGTAAGTTGCTCTTCACTTATGAACATATTTCATTTAAAACTCTTCTTGAATTGTTTTAGCAAAAAGCATTTGCTGATGTTTTAATGTGATGCTTCTCATCATATGCAGCCAAGCTGCCTCAAGCAAATCTGCAACAAACCCCTGTAACAGCAGAATCCATTTGTCCCTCTTATGCAGGAGTGTGTGGATGCCATCACTGAACTCCAGAGGCTTCATTCATTGATGAAGGGAGAGTTGGTTTCGTGATTTTTCACTATGTATATCACCTTATGCGGGCATCTGATGTAGTCTTAGGGTTATGAATAATGGGATTTTGTGAAATTAGGATTTGACTATTTAAGAAAGATTGAATAACCTGAATTAACTACCAGTCTATTTATGAGATCACTTAGGTTATGGTAACTGATCTAAACTCGGTTTCTTCCAGTGGAGTTTCACAGAGCTTGCTGAAGGACCCTGTTTGAAGAATTATGAATATCTTGGAAGTGGAGAAGTATATGATAAAAAGCGCAAGTGGACTGTTGAGCTGCCAACTGATTCTCACTTGCTCTTGTATTTGTTCTGTGATTTCCTGGAGCATTCAAAGTGGATGCTGCAGGTGGTGGATCCTGATCCTCCGCTGGAGCTCCTTCGAGCAAAAATCCCTCTATCCTTGGGTTAGGATATTTTCTTCCAGATATGAGGATGTTGGATTATTCTGCCTCCTTCAGATTGACTTGGATGGGATAATTTGGGAGAAACGTTTTGGAATAATTTGATGCAACCAGTCATTAACAGTTCCTTTTCTTCATTTTCTTCTCATAAAACTGAGTTGTTAATAATCCACGCGAGCAATTAAACTATATGACATTAGCTAGAATCCACATATGTAAGAAGAAGACGTCAAATGTTCGCATTTCACTGTGAAACCATTATCATAGGACAGGCATAAAATCTATTAGCTCCTTTTCCAGGATAATTCCAATGTCTATTCTCAGAAACAAGAGCAAATTGCTGCACTATCCTATTATTTCTTCCATTTCAAATTTCAGGCTAACGACTGAATCATTTAGCCTTTTTTTTTTTTTTTCATATTATAAAATATTTTCCTTCTGCCATATGCCAATAGCCTTCTAATAACCATAAGTGTCCACAATCTAACAAGTTGCCCGTCTAGCTCAGTTGGTAGAGCGCAAGGCTCTTAACCTTGTGGTCGTGGGTTCGAGCCCCACGGTGGGCGCTAGTGTTTCCCCTTTAATTAACCTTTCGGTATTCAAACTTCATCTTCAATCTTCAAAAGCTTTTCACAGCACTAAATTTTTTTTTAAAAAAAAGAGAAATTTACATAAAGGCATGTGAGCTATTACCATATAAACTTTTAATTTTTATTTTTAACCACCTGAACTAAACTTTATAAAGTGTTGCAATTCATCATATTTTTCCAATGCCAATCTCACCCCTCATGCGAATCCAAACAATTCAACATAATCCCCCTTGTAGAAGCTTTTTCTTCCGGCAGCTGTAAATGGGCTAGGTTGTCGTAAAGAGCATATGGATGAAATTATCCCATGTGTCTTAAGTTCAAAGATCAAGCCCCAAGAATGCTTCGAAAGGATAGTGAAGCCTTAGGAAGCACCTTAGTTACCTTCACCAACAAAAATAACAACAGCTTACAGATAAATTCTTGGCTTGGCATGAGAAGCTTGTGACATGAGAGCTGAGCATTCATGAGTTTAGCATGAGAGAGAGAAATGATTGAGATTCCTATGAGAAACAGAGTTTTTAATGCATGGGGGAAGGGATTCTAAGAGGATTCGTTGAGGAGAGAGAGGGGGAGAGAGACGAGGGCAATAGGTGTTTTTCCGGCAGCTTGACGGAGGCTCTGTCAAGTGTTAGAACAACCTGCCAAGAGGGGAAATTAAGGAGGAGGAAGATGAATTGAGCACGAAATTGCTGGGTTTTGGAAGTAAGAGAGGAAGCTTGCTCTCTGGTTGTAGTTGTGGCTAGTGGTGAAGTATTGGGTGTTTTGGGTAATTTTCCAGTAGCCTGACAAAAGTTATGTTAGACTCTGGAATGGCTTGCCATAAGAGAAAATGGGAGTAGGTGGAGGAATATGACACAAAATTGCAGAGTTTCAGAGATGAGAGATGAAGCTTGCTCTCTAGATGTAGGTTTTTTCCTGGTTGGGTAGAATATGCCTCTTTTATAGCCACTGGAAGCTATCATTTTCCAAGAAACCCTAATGGTTTCTATCCAATTTGGCCAAGCTTTCTCCTTCCTTTCTCCTCCCTTCTTTTGACTTATCTTATTCTGGCAAGATCTTCTCTGCCCAATCGCACAAAATCAGAGATTTTTGGGAGCTCAATGCTCTTCCCGCAACTGACTCAATGGAGAACTTTTATTCCCAACCATCTCCTTCCTTTCTTTCCTTTTTTCTTCCATGGCCAGGTCTGATGAGGGAAAGAAATGGGTTTGCATGCTGGTTCAAAGGGTGATTCCCCTCCTAGCAGTTTGCGCGCCAATATCCCTTGGTCCTTTGGATGTTTTTTGCTTGAAACTTATTCCCCCCCCCCCATGTGCTGGAACCTCCCAGTAGCTCTGCGTAGTGGACCTCCAGACTTCCCTTCGTGGCTTTTTTTCTTCAGCCAAGTGCTGGGGCTTTGCAAGTTCTTATTGTAATTGTACGGGCCTTCTAAGACAACAAGTTGATTTACCAAGTAAATGGGCTAACCTTATCAAGAGTTGAGCTATTTTGGTTAAGTTAATGGGCTACTTTGGTTGAAGTAATGGGCTTATTTCTCTCTTTGTGCTCACCCACATATTTGGGTCTAAGAAATGGTCTTCAGTTCTGGGGTTCCCAAGGAACCCGAGGCTTCCATTTCTCGGCCCATCAATGGGCCTCATGACAATTCATTACCATCCATACCACAACCAACTCAAGCAAGCCCAGGACATTCGCGTGGCTTGGGCCCACTTAAGCTTGTGGCGTGGCGTGTTGCTTATTTATTTGGCGTGGCACGTGTGCAAGCGTATATGATGAACTCTTGGGTACCCAAATTGGGTTTCCTCCCAAGTTAGGTGTCGTACTAGGCCGGAAATTTATTCAGGCCTAACCGTGGATTTTTTGGGCATCAACATTAGCCCCATTGATTATTGGGGCTATGAATGTTTATTGAAATTTTCCGAATAATAAATTTTCAGCCCAAAATAAATTGCAGTGGCATGGCATGGCATGGCATAGGCTTAGGAGCAACTCAAGGATGACCAATTAAGAGTCTCTGAAATTACAGCCAAGTCTTTTCTGGGAAGGTTGGAGGGGTACCAATGCCCCCACTTAAAACCCAATCCTTCTTAAACACCGAGGGTGTTGCCTTGAAAAACTTTCCTAGACACTGTAATTTTGGAGGTCACTTACTAGAGTTACCAAGAGTTGGCCTATTTTGTGGCATGACAGAGAAGAAAATGCTTGGTGGATTAGCTCAAAATAACTTAGCTTGCACGACTTATTTGCTTAAGTGACTAGAGAGGCTTGATTTTGCATTGTTGTGATTTGCAAGAGTTGTATTGACTTGCACGCTTGGTTTTGACGTGTATATTTGGTATTGGCATGTATTATTGATATTTGGCTTGATGCTTAGCATTGGCATGTATGCTTGATTTTGGCTTGATGCTTGACATTGGCGTGTATGCTTGATTTTGGCTTGTATGCTTGGATGCTTGGCATTGGCGTGTACGCTTGATTTTGGCTTGTATGCTTGGATGTTTGGCATTGGCATGTACTGGAAGGATATTTGAAATAGAGCAGGTGCTGGATGTTTGGCTTTTATCTAATGTATTTCAAGTGTGATAACTTGTAAGGAGCAGGTCTTCTCAAATGGATCAAAAATACTGTACACACCGGAAGACTTTGGGAACATTGAAGCAAGAAGCCGATACTCAAGCAGATATTTCTTCAATACGGAACAATTAGGTTATTCTTGTAAAACTCTTTGAGAATTGAACATCTAAGGCTCTTTACTTATATTGACCTTAGGTTCCTTCATGCATTCATATCATACATGCAAAACTGTTTTATCAAAATTTTGGCTAAGTATGAAAAATGCTTTTTCAAAATAATCATTTTCTAAAGATAATTTTTGGCGGCTTTTATTCCTTACATATCAAATAAGAAAACCTGATTTTATGAGATTTTTATATGGAGTATATATTGACTTATTAAGCCTTCATTTTTATTCCAAATCGCATCTTTAACATGTATAGGTTGTAATGGGGCCAAGGGTGTAAGGTGAGTAAGAAATGAAAGGTATGGATAATACAAAGTCCAAGGAACTCAAAATATAAGAGCATAAAACAATTGTTTCTAAAGACTTCGAATCATCACAATGAGAAATATATATATATATATTTACATGATCAAAACTCCTTATACCTCCATTCTTTTAATTGAACAAACACCAATTTATTTTGAGGCCAATAAAGAAACCCAAAAACTAAATTTCATTCAACCACCACTTAATCACAACTTTTATCTTTTCTTTCACCAATTGTATGATTTTTTTTTCCCCAAAATGAAACACCCCTTCCCAAACTTAGTATGAAAAACACATCCCAATTAAAGCTCAAGAGTTCCTTACGAAGATAAATACTTGTTTTTCAGGCTAAGGTGAGAAAATATAATTGGTTAAATGAAAGAAAAAGTTTACATGTAGGCTCAAAATGGTTAACAATGGAAAATCATGCTTAAGCATGCATAAGGTTAGTTTGAAAGGCACAAACGATCCAAAAAAGGCCTTAATATCATTTCTTAAATGTCATGAAATCAAATTGCAAAAGAATGAATGACTTTTAAGTGTTCAACCAAATCAATGAATAATGAGATCAAACAACAACTTAAATGACAAGAAACTAAGAGTACGTGTATAACACTCATGAATTGAAGTACAAAGCTCAAAAGCTCACTTTATATGGTAATATAAGTCTAATTTATGCTTGATACAGTTCTTTGGATTATGCAAATCCTTTAATTGGGAAAATATGAAACAAATGGCAAGTGTACAGAAGGTTTCAAACATATCACGCTAGAACAATGCCGAATTTTTTTAATTTATTATTTTTTTTTTAAGAAAATCCAATTTTCATTTAAGTCATGCAAACATTTATCACAATCTCATCAAATGTGTTTGGAAAGTGACTCAAAAATAAATAAATAAATAAAGAAAACTAAAAGAAAAGAAAAGCAAGACTAAAATAAAAAAAACAAAAGCAAAAGAAATAATAATAATAATAATAATAAAGCAAATAAAAATCACAAAATACAAAAATAAAATTAAATTAAAAAACCAAAAAAATAAAAATAAAAACGAAACAGTAAGCCCCAATCACACAGGTTTACGCCAACTGAAACCCAAAAACACTTG